ACATGGATTGCACTTACTAAGCATTGCATTGTATTGCTCACCCTTTATTTCTTATGGTGCAGCAAAAGAGAAAGATGGTTAAAGACTATCGCCTCCAAAAGATGTAAGGACTTGTCAATCATGTGCTTAGGGTAAAGAAGTATGGGAACCTATTTTTACTTAGCTTGATTGTTGGTTACTTGTATATGGTATGTAAATTAGTTAACTAATTTTTTTTTAATAATGTCATGTTAAAGGATTAATGAAGGCCTCATCAAATTTAAGAAATAAATTTCTAACCAAGTTATTTTAAGGTGGACCTAGTATCCCATACTCAATAGACACCTCAATAGCAAAAATTGCCTACTTTGTTAAGGAAATGATCAAGTTAAGGTAAAGAGGCTTGTTGGTTTGCATTTGTTGCACTTTAAATGTGAGTCAACGCCGATAATAATTCGACCTATATAGGTCCTAGGTCGAGGGTGGTACAGGTTTGATCCTATATTGAATAGAACAAGGGTTCATCCGTAGTATAGACTAGCGGAGGTAAAATTTAGAAAGACTTTCAACAAATACAAATCTTTATTCTAATAGAACAAATGGCTCAAGTTTATTAAGCTATGTATCCGAGCTTAAAAGCAACAGATCGAATTGGTGGGCTGTTTGTAAACTAAAAGTTAGGGATATGGTTAAGTTTTTACAATCGTTTGTCTAACTCTAGGAAAATGCAAAACTGCTTTAGAAGGACGATTCAAAAATCTAACACTATTTGATGTAGAAAAATAGTGAAGAGCAATCATTGAATGATTTAAATAGATCATTTATAAATATAGAAGTAGTTGAAGCTAATAAAGAAGATGAAATTGAATATGAATTAGAATCGACCGAGAGAGAGAGAGAGAGAAAACCTAGACGATGATTATCACGATTGTAATTAAATATTCATTTTATTTATTTATTTATTATATTCATTAAATTATATCATTTTCCTAATCATGCATTTTTTAGATGTTTGTTGTGTATTTTAGATGTGTTTTATTTTATACATGTGGCAACTTTAGTAATTAGGGAATATCCAATTTACAAGGGAGGAAATGTCAAATTTTTGTTTTTTTTTTTTTTTATGGAAAAAAATTTAAGTCTATATATATATATATATATATATATATTTGTTAAACTCGTATCAAGTGATATTGTAGAGCTATGACTCTTCGATTGGGTCGTTCCACCCTAGCATCCCATGCAATAAGATCTCGCTAGTCGTGGTAGTGATCGTAGCGTTGATAGTGGCAATGGTCGTGACATTGATAATGGTAGTGGTTGTGGTCGTGGCTATGGCATTAATAGTGGTGGTATTTATGGTTATGGTCATACTCATGCATCTAATCCTAGTAACGTGGCCAGCATGTTTGTATCCCTACTAGCATTGCCCTCAACTATGGAGGTCCCCTCGGTGGTTTCTTTTACTCTAAGGAGATTTTTTGGGTCTTATATTGGCCAAAAAATTCGACTCATTAATAACTAGTAAGTGATATGCTTTACATGTGGTAATTAATTTTATACATTCATATATTATTTGAATCATTTATTCACTTATTTACTTTTTATTTGTTATGTTCGACAGCTTTGGTTTCATTAAGTAAGTATTCCAATCGGATCGCTACAATTTTCAAGGAGCAATTAGACATCACCGGCTCCACATGGAAGTTCGTCTCTCAAAAGATAAAAGACTTTTACTTTAATTAATTTAGGATAACATATTAATTATTTATTTATATTACATTTAAAGTATTAATTTAACATAAAATATAATAATATTAATTTTTTTTTCATGTAAAAGTACTTTTGACGCAATTGTGGATGCATTAATTAAGATTGCATGAGAATGTCCGGCATGAAGGCGATACTCCGACATGGTGAATAAGTTTAAGTAAAAGATCAATAAATCCGTGTATATTACGGAGTAGGTGCGGGATGCATGGTGGCGAGATTGGGCTATAATTGAGTTTTAGGCTCAATCTCGGCAAACATCTCAAAACCGTATGTCGAAGATGAGTGGTATTGGTGTTGGCCTATCCGGGCATATAAAGGGTTCCATCTCTATTATTAAGCACACTAAATGAATGATAAATCCTATTATCCATTTTTTTTATAAATTAATATTTATATTTATTTCATCTCATATTATTATTTCGTTTTTTCAGCATAAGAAATTAGGTCATGACCTAAATCCTTTCAAAGTATTCCTAAACACTCACAAGCTAAGAGATGAGTCTTTCATCAATAGAAAGTCCTGGATAATAATAGTAAGTTTTTTATTTTTTTAAATATACATCTATCAATATAATATAAAAAATGAATTTATAATTTAATATTATAATTATTTTAATTACGTAGGAGCGCGTGAAGTCATTACAAGAAGCAACTGCTAAGTAGCGACAGGAGGATGATTTATCATCTCTAGACATCGACATGGCCAAGATATATCTTAATGTTATAGGAGGAGAGAAGAATTAGAGAGTGTAAAGTCTTAAATCATCGAGGTCCTAGTATTACTTCAATTCCGTGCCGACTTGTCCTCTATCACATTACGGTACCTCGGTGGTAATGTTTAGGAGGTTATTGTCTAGTACAAAGATAAGATACTATCTACTACGAAGATAAGATCCTGTGGATGGAGGCGATGCAAGTGACATTACGGAAGCTACAACAAACTTCGATCCCTCATGTTGACTCCTGCACTACCCAAGAGTCGACCTTTACTCTCAATACCCGGCGATGGGAAGATGATGGAGGAGATGATGACGACGACGACTAGCTTTCTTCTTTTTTTAGGTTTTTAATGTTTTGTACACTCGAATACATTGATATATTTATTTGATTTGAATTTATACTATTTTAATTTTATTAAATAATATTTTGTGTCATAATAAGGTGTTATTTTTAGTTGTTTGCTACTATCATTAATTTTAAATGACTATTAATTTATAAAAAAATTCATTGATTTAGCAATGGATCAACGATTGAATTAGTGATAAAAAATAAATCATTTGTAATAGATATTGAAACAATCACTAAATAGCGGCGAACATATCAACGGATTTATGAAAAAGATAAACGACTATAATTAGCGATGAAAATATTGGAGAAAAGCGACGGCTTTGCAAGAGATTAATTTAAAACTTAAAATTTGATTGTTTATGTCGATTTAGTGACAACAATAGTTCAAAATAACAACAAGTATTCTCTCACTGATTAGCGAATAACAATACTTTTCATCATTAAAAAACTAGTGAAGATCACTTGAATGACAGAATAGTGTAATCGTAAATCTATCGGTAAAAATTAACAGTGATGAAAAATATTTGTACAGCAAAGAAAAATTCCATCGCTATTTAACAATTTTTTACAATGAAAACTGTAGTAGGTTATCAACAAATAGTAACCAAATGGAAGCAATCATTGTCAGGTTCCAATATTCTTGAAAGAAAATCACTACTATTGCTTAAAATTGGATCCACACTGCAGCTGGCACAAGGGATTCCCTTCTATGTATATTGCTTTGAATACAAATTAAACATTATTATTAGGTCATTAATATTTCCAAATATAATTTAGATGTGGTGAACCGGGAAATCATGTAAAAGCCCTCATGGCTGAGAAAAACATGCATGTGAAATTTGAAAAGAAACAAAAGGAAACTTAAAAAAGAAAAGCCAAAAAAAAAAAAAAAAGAAGGAAAAATAACAACTGTAATTTGTGAAGACTTATTTTTCACAAATGAAACATTTTCCGTCACAAAATTCAATTTGTTATGCATCCTAAAATCAATAAAAAATAAAACAAATACTTCCATTGCAATGCATCCCAAAATTATTAATAATCGAAAACATGAAACTTGATAAATTGGTTTGTAATCCAATACTGATTTAAGTGACAGATAAATTTTTGTGGTAAACTTTTGATACAAATATACATTTTTTTTTAGTGAATTTTGAAGAGACTTTTATTTTATATCAATTACTGGCAAACAATTATATAATATAAAATTTCAAACTGTTGGTTAAGTTCTTAAAAAGATTGCTAGGAAGAAATTATATTAATTTCAAATTTTAAACTATTGGGTGATGTCTTAAAAAGATTTTTTATTGGATAAAGTTCAGAAATTTAGCTATATATATGTATTACAACATTGGTATACTACTTAGAATCCACGGCGCTGACGAATGAGGAAAGTGGAAATGAGATACTTCAAGCTCAAACTCATGTATGGAATCATATTTTCAACTTCATGAACTCCATGTCTTTGAAATGTGCAGTTCAACTAGGCACAACAGATGTGATCCAAAAACATGGCAAACCCATGACCCTCTCTGAACTTGTTTCTGCCATACCAATGCACCCATCAAAAACTCAGTATGTCTACCAGCTGAGAGTGGGTCATGGGTTGGCCATGACTCTGGATGATATCTGGTATGCCTATTTGAACTGCACATTTCAGGACCATAGAGTTTATGAAGTAGCTCATTTATGCTCTCTCCATTGATCGAATCCATTGATTTCCGTTGGTACATGCAAGTTGTTTGCTGTACCCTGAAAATGAACTTGATTGATAACTTATTTCTAATACTTTATATCCAATAATGCACATACTACCATTGATCAATCATGTTGGTTGGTCTAGAATGATAAAAAAATTTATTGCAGTCCATTTACATTATTGTCCACTTTTAGTAAACCAGTCAACTTGTCTGATTGGTTCTAAAATAATAATAAAATTTATTGCAGTCCATATGCTTTATCATCAGAAAAGCAGTGGTAACCATAACTTCACTAGTCGATTATTGTATGCCGTAAGTATTAATATGAATATTTGGTTTGAAATTATCGGGTCCCTACGCAATGCAGCTATCATCTTAGCATAAGAACGCCATTCTACGTGAAAATCCAGAGTTTTAACCTGGATTAATCCCAGTTACAAATAGACTCTTACATAGAAATTAGATAACAACAAGAGATAAATGCAAAGGATAAAAGGTTCGACCTTCTATATTGGAACTAGTTCTCATGGGAAGATCAATGAAAAGCATGGTTTTCTAATTGTTGGAGTTAAATATATGATCCGTGTTAAGGAAATCAAATCTGACTTTCCAGGTTTCAATCTTGTTAGTTCTATGCTGGAAAAATCTGCAGCAAGAAAGCTTGAGGAAAGGGTTGATGATGTGGATGCTACGGTAGAATCTGATGTGGCTGCTGACATGGTAGATCAGTTGGATGATATTAGCCTAATCCTTGTTAGAACATATCTCACATTGAATAGTTAAACCAATAATAAATAATATATAAAGTTGAGAAGGGGCTACCCACCATAAGACTTAAGTCTTTTGGATAGAACCTAATGTCAACTATTTAACTCTAATATGGTATCGAGCCTCAAAGAGACTCAACGGCCCAATAAAGATTCTAGAGTCCAAGCCACTTGACGGACTCCAAAAAGATGAGCTGCAAGTGAGGGGGAGTGTTAGAACATATCCCATATTGAATAGTTAAACCAATAATAAATAATATATAAAGTTGAGAAAGAGTCACCCATTACAAGACTTAAGTTATTTGGATAGAAGCCAATCTCAACTATCTAACTCTAATAATCTTTGGTGAGTGTACTCGCAAGGCTAGCAAAGGAGATAAATTTTATAATACTCAAAAACTAACTAGTAGCATGTATCACCATAGAGTAACGAGAAATTTTATAATACACTAGGAGTAGCTAGTGACATGTACGATAGTTACTCCATGGGTCCACTTTGAGGAAAGAGATATACACATGAAAAAAAGAGAGAAACAGGAAAGAGAAAATAAAAAAATTTGAGCGAATGTAGAAATTTTCTTATCACTTTTGATGGGTATAGATGTAATTTTTCTCTTTTTTTGTGTCTGTCTCTCTTCAAAGTGAGCCCACGGAATAATTCTTGTACATGTCACTAGTTACTCCTAATATATTATAAAATTTCTCATAGAGTAACTACTATATATGTCACTATTTACTCCTTTGAGTATTATAAAACTTCTCGGCAAAGGAAATCAATGCTCACAAGATTTCAAATTTCAACAACCAGATAGATAGCTTGCTGTTTCCAGAAATAAAGGGGAGCGTTCAAAGCCACCAGTCCTTGACAGTTGGAGAATTTACATAAGATAGCAGATAGTGTTCGGTTTCCAGAGTTAAAAGAGACGTTTCAAAGACAGAAACAACTGGCTGTGACGGACTCCAAAGCGCAGCAGCAGCGGAGCTCTTTAGCTGGCAGTTTTGGGGCTTCAAGAGTGATGGACTCACAGTTTCATGTGGTTGCTGGACTTTCGGTTAATGGACCTAATAGTCCAAAGGACTTAAGCTTTGACTCTGATATATTATGTCCCCATCTAGAGATTTAAGCCATGTAACCCGTAGAAGGATGAAGTCAGTCAAATTTTTACCATTTGTATTCATTATCGTTGTTTTTCACTTTTCACAGCAACTTAATTAATGCGTTATTATTGTAAACACTATATTAAACTAAATTATATTTTTATATACATGAAAACAAAAGAGTAGAGATGATCATTCGTTTTTTCAGTTCGATTTTGTTTTTTTTTTTTTTTTTCAGTTTTTGATTAATGGAATTGACTAAAATAAAAACCAAAACCAAACTGAATTGAGGTTCGGATTTTTGGTTTATGGTTAAAAACAGTTTTTTTTAAAAAATAGAATTAATAGCTTTTAAAAAATAATAATAATAAACTTGCATAGTAATTGAGTAATGCTTTCAACAATGATTGATTTTTTTTTTCATTTATTTTTGGAAGAGATCACTTGTTTGAATTATAATTTATAAAGATATAAGTTAATTTACTTAATAACCACATCATAACTTTTATAATAATTTAACGTTATAACTTGTTACCATAAATACCATCTCGTCATTTAAGTCTTATACTCTAAGTAATAAATACACTTTTCTCTATTTATTGAGCCATAACATAATCAAAGATTGCATATTTCACATTTGATTTTGCAAGAAAATTGTGTAAGATTATTATTATTATTCTATACTAAATTTTTTTTAGTTATATTATAAACTTGGATTGGTTGGGCTTCTCATTATTTTTTCAATCACGCTATAAATTTATTTTTTGATAATTTTTCATATATTTTTTAATCTCCTTATTTTGTGTATATTTTATTGTTGAATAGATAATCTGAAAATTTTAATTTTTAATTTATGATTGGTATAAGCATAAAAAGAGAGAAAAAATTATTATTGTTAGTTGTTATTAATACTACTATTATAAATGCAGCAGCTTGGGGTCATGGGGTCAATTTTTTTATAGGGGATATTTTGTGCCAATTTTCATACAAACGAGACAATTTCTTCTCCATGAGGTTTTAGGATTCACCCACACATAAACTTATGTATTTATAAAGAATTAATTTATCACGGTCTTTTTTTTTATTTGTTTGTGAGTCAATATAATATAATCAATTATTTTATTATTTCAATAAATAATTTATGAAAAATATTTTTATTTTAAGTAGAAAAAATCATTAAAGCTATTGTTCTTATGGTTAAACCCATAGGTGCCTCTTTTATTTTTTATTTTAAAAAAGAGTTTAGGTGTGTGTTTTAAAAAAAAACTACAAAAAAGAAGCAATTCCGTCTCTAATTGCTCTAAATCCATTGCTAATTTCCATTAGCAATGGACCGATGACTGATCTGCCTATCCATAGCTATTTTATTTGTCTCTAATTTTTAGAGATGGAAAAATCCATTCCATCGCTAATCTCTCACTAAATAGCGACCGAATATCCATCGTTAATATCCATAGCTAACAAAGTCCTAGATATTCCATCGCTAAAATGAAAAGGGCAATTTGTCGTTATTCTATAGCTAAATTTTTTTAAAAATATATTTTTTTCATTTTATTTTTTTATTTTTAAATTATTATTATTGCATTTAATAATTAATATTGGATGTAGTAGTTAACAATTAAAAGTAATAATGTATAGATTGAAAATGAATTGATAGTAACAATAACATTAAATGGTACGTTCGGTAAAATAAAACAAAGTGACTAGATGTTTGTTCTATCACTCATTCTCGCTCGTTTAGTCACATATCCTCCTAGTACTGTGTGGAGGGCTCGATGGGAGGATCGGTTAGAGGCTGAATGAGAGGTTGTGTGGAAGGAACGATACACTACCGAGTGGTCGATGGATCTATAGGCACCCCAATTATCCGTGCCGGTCTCATCACTAAAGATGCCATCAAGTTGTATTGAGATTTCGGACTATGTATAGTCGTCTACTACTCCGAGACCGGGCTTTAGAGCTCGTGTTGTTTCACCTATATCCCTTTTATCACTTCCTTCGTAGCCTCGTAGTTCCTCCGAAGCTCTTCGTTAGTTGGCTTGACGGCATAATGCGACGTCGTAGAGGAAGAGCTACTACCACCTAACTGCGACGGGTAATACACCGACCGTGTGCCTACAACATAATACCTTTTCTTCTTCTCTTTGATAGCCTCGAGGTATGTGGTATTCTCATCAACTTCTAGCTCTATGATTCCTGTCGCCTGTTGAGCCATAATCGCCTCCTGGATGAGCCGTTCCACACGATCCTGCGTAATCAAAATAATGATATCATCATTATGGGATTAAAATAAAAATTAGAACTATCTTTTCATATTTGATATTTGAAATTAAAAAAACACTTCCAATTGTTTGTTAGGAGCATATATCGATGAAAGAACCATCTCGTCGCTTGTGAGTCATTTTGAATACCTCAAAACTCGTTGGCTAACGGCCCAATTTTGCCTCCCGAAAAAAATCCATTACGAGAGAATGTGAGAAGAAAATTGAAATTTTCTGAAATATGCAACTAATAATAAAGAGTGTGCAATTTATCAAGCGACGGACATGCTTTTTCGTCGATATGGAACCTTCGTATGCCTAGAAGAACTTGCACTAGGACCATCGGTCTTTGACAACCGGTTCTATGTTTATTAATTGAAGTTATTGTTTTAACTTCAATTACATAAAATTTGATCTATATTGAAGCTAAAAACATTTATGTTTATTAAATTTTCCTAATTAATTTAATAATAAATTCAACTAAATTTAATTTAATTAATCCTAAATAAAATGATTATTAAATTCTATTAATTAATAAAATATTTATTAAATTTTAACATTTATGTTTATTTTTCAATTACATTTTTATTCCCATTTTTTTATTTTCTGGACTATTAAATCATTATGCATATTATCTTCTTTAAATTTTAATAATTAAACTATAACAATTACTTCTACAATTTATATTCGAAATAACCATAAATCAAATCAATTAGATTAAATTAATTAAGCTAGTAACCAATTCAAACGAAACACAATATGACAAATTAACAATAAATTAAAAATAAATTAACTAGCTAATAAATTAAAAATTTCTTAAGAAATAATCAACAAAATTTAACTAAAGTATGTAAAACATTATATAATTTAAAAATTAACTTAAAACAAACAACTAGCAAAATTCACCTAATAATTATCACAATTAATTAACTAATTAATTAAAAATTTTAAAATAACAATTAAATATTAAATAATTAAACTTTAATCTAAAAATTTTAAAAAACAAATTAACAATAAATCCACCTTAACTAAATTACATAAAACATTACCTTAATAAAATTAAACCTAAAAAAATTAACATAATAAAAAAAATTTAGATTAAAATTAACCTAAAAATTAACATAATTAAAAAATAATGCTTGATAAAATTATTCTAACAATTAAGAAAATTCAATAAACAATTAACAAATTTACACTAACAATTAACAAATAAATTAACACAATTAAAAATTAATATAATAATAAAATTAACAACATTCAAACATTTAATCAACTAACAAATAACAAAATTAACCTAAAAATTTATAACATTCATTTAATTAAAAAAAAAAGAGTTAGAGAGAGAAAAAGTTGTATTGAAGAGATCAACGAAAGAGAGCGAGAGATTTCATCGGATTTTGAGGGAGAAAGATGCACCTCACTAAGTTAAACAGGTCTTGGGAGTTGCTTGGTGGCGTGGGTGGTGGTTTTCCGGCCGACGACGGATTTTTAGGTGGAGGAAAGAGGAGGCCGAATGGGGAAGAAGAAAAGAAACTCGGGTATTTAAAGGCTGCGAGATTAGCGACGAAAATGATTCCATTGCTAATTAGCGACGGAATCGAAATTTCATCGCTAATTTGAAATTTTGAGTGGGAATTTTCCAGCCCAAAAATTCAAATTAGTGACGAAATTTTGATCTCGTCGCTATTTTTTATTTTTTAGGTGTGAATTTTCCCACCCAAATCCCAAAGTTTTTAATCTAAAATTAGTGACGCATTTCCCAATCATGTTGCTAATTACGCGATTTAGGTGGAAAAAGTCTAACCTAAATTGCAAATGTAGCAACAAATTTAAAAATCCATCGCTATTTTTTGTTTTAAATTAGCGACAAATCACTATTTCATCGATAATTTGAATCTCACTATCTTTATTTAGCGACGGATCATAATCCGCCACTAAATTAGTGACGAAAATCCATCGCTATTTCATCGATGAACATGACACTTTTTTTACCGTGTTATTTTGCGATGTAATTAATTATGTCACTAAGTTTTCCTTGCTATTCCATCACTAATTAGTCACAAAAATCACCTGTTACTCCTCATCGCTAGTCTATTATTAATTTGTCTCTAATTAGAGATAGAATAATATCCGTTGTTAATTGTCAATTTTCTTGTAGTGAAAACACTAATTCGATTGTCGGTGGAAATCGAATTTAAAAAAAAAAGAAACGAATCGAAATAATTTCGATTTTAATTTTTTTTCAAAATTTTTTTATAAAATTGAACCAAAATTTCTAATTTGGTTCGGTTCGAATCTATTTTTTGATTTTAACCGAATAATGCTCACCCCTACGGAAGACCCGTGGTAGTATTAAACCAATACATGTCATTTTTATTGTTTGACATGTGACATTTCAAAAAAAAAAAAAGTTATAAATTTGAACTGATTAATATATGCTTCAATTATCCATGAATTTGTTTCGATGTCTATTAGTGTTTACCAATTAACAATTGGGAAAAAAAAAAGAAAGAAAGAAAAGATAATGATTATTTATTATTCAAAAAATATAATAGTTATCACCTACCATAAATTAATCTACTACTTTTAAGTGAATCAGATTTAATTAAATGATAAATACTATAAACAAATAAGTGATAAATATTATAATTTAATAACTATTTTTATTTTATTATATTCTATTATAAATCCCGTACGAGAAAAGGGAAAGAAAGCTCAGAACTCATATCCACGCACGTTTTTTTTTTTAATGCTTTCAACCTGAACCGTTTTTGCTTTTGTTTTTTTTTTATCCATTATATATAAAAAAAAAATTGTCAATAATTATAGTGTAAGAAAATTAAGCAATAAATAATGATTGAATAGCAATTTTTTGTTTGTTTGTTATATGTTCATTATAAAAACCTATATATATATATATATAACTGCTACTTCAAACACATGTTTTTGTTTTATTTTCAATCTGAATTGTTTGACAGTTTATTTATTTATTTACAGAGAGATGAATATTTTGAAGGGTTTTTGAAATAGTCGTAGTGTAAAAATGATAAGTTCTCAACAAAACGACATCATTTCTTCAAAAAAGAAAAAAAGAAAAAAGTACTCTGACTTAAAATCACTGAAGCAATTAGAGCATTTAAAACTCATATTTGTTTGTGCGGCATGTATGAATAAGCAAGGGTTATGTTCCAATCAAATGCCATGACTACCAACATTATTTATAGTTCATGATTCAATTTTTTTACAATCTCAAATATTAACATTACCGGATAAGCTAGTTACTAGCTAGCACACGATCTTAATACAAACTTAGAAACATATTAAGTTCAGAAGTGACTCGAAAGACTTGTTGGCACGAAGTCGTGGTTGTGTCTTAATCTGCAAGCACAAACAATAGCTCAAGGAAAAACCTCAATAAGAGTCCTTAAGCCTAGTACCGGGCTAGTCTTATAGTTGCTAAAGCCAGCATCATAAAAGAGTTTAGCCCATTCTTTCTCGTTTCTTTCCCGTCCAGTGACAATTGTCATCATTTGCAAATCAAGTAACAGTTGCGCTTTAATGATTTGATCACTGCAGCTTTGGCTACCCAGCACAATTTCTACAATTATCACCTTTCCTCCTTTGCCTATGCTCATAATTGCCTCTCTGCAACGCTTAAGTATCTTTATGCAATCTTCATCATTCCAATCATGCAGTATATGCTGTACATTTTCATCACCGTTACAAATGATAGTTTTAATGGTGGTAATATAACAGTTTTGGGATATCTTGTTATTGTTATTCAACATTATGGATATCTCGACACCATTTCACAAGTATAACAACAAATAAAAGCATTATTGTTATATAATGTTGTTTTTGCTTTTATATAACAGCATTGTACCCAAAAAAAAAAAATAATAGAAATCAATCATTTTAGATTTAGAGTTTGAGAGTTTATTTTATTAAAGAATAAGAATAAAATACTAGAATTGTAGGCTTGATTGAATAAATATTAAATTAGTTATTGTATTTTGGAAAAATAAATTAGTTAGTCCGTTTTATTTCAAAAACCAATTATTTATTTATTTTTGTTCATTTTATGTTATTTTCTAATTTATTTTCCTTTTTGTTTGAAAAAATGAAAAAAAAATAAATTTATATGATGAAAAGATTGATGAAAAAAATTTTGTGAAATAAAATATATTATATTAAATATGATTGAAGATTAAATAATTAGTTTTTAAAATATTAAGGACTAATTAATTCATTTATTAAAGCTAGAGAGACTATTGTATAATTTAATTCAGGTTGACTATCTCGTGTGCTAGGCAACAAATGCGGGCTTTAATTGAGTAAATTATAAATTAGTTCCTTTAGTTTAGAAAAATATAGTTGGTACTTTTTGTTTCAAAAACTAATTACTTAGTCATATTTTTTAATTTTATTTTATTTTCTAATTTTCTTTCCTTTTTGTTCTAAAAATTAGAAAAATTAAAAAATAAATTTACATAATGATAAGAATGATGAAAAAAATTGTGAAATAAAGTATCTTACATCAAATATTGCTAACACTCGAATAAATTTATGGGAATTATGATATTTTATTACTTATTAATATGCTTAATTAGTAAAAATATTAAAAATATATGAATTAAAATAAATTTATTATCCATTATTAATGTATTCATAACTTCGATTGTTGTGATTATTATTTTACTATCGCGATAAGTCACAATCTGTAATTGTGATTGCGACCTTTTTCTAATCACCATCGTTATTTAAAACTATATTACAAATTATACCTTAAGTGTTCCTCAAAAGTCAAAACAAATGGGAACAGTTTCAAACTCAACTGTCTATTTGTAGGATGTGAAATCCATATCTTAGAGTCTAGTTGAATTAAAAACAAAAAGTTTATTTGAGACTAATTCCATTTCTGGTCAAGTTTTAAGTAGGCCATCAACACCTGGGCAGATATATTTATAAGAATTTTATTTTTTTATAGCCTCTCTTAGGATTCAAACCATGCATGTCTAAGCCAGCAATAGTAATCAATATATATCTAATTGAAATAGGGATGCTGTGAAGATAAATAAAATCAAGTCTTCGTGCATGCGTACCTTTAGTAAGATTCCCTCAGCAGGAGGTATTGCCTCAAACATGTCCCCTCCAAGGTAATTCAAGTTCTCACTGCCTTGTAAATCAGCAACAACATGTGGAAGATCCAATATGGTGCAATTCAAGCCCGGAAATGTTTCAGCAATTACCTTGGCCACAGTTCCTGTGCCGCCCCCCACATCGACCAATGAATTCAGCTCCTGGAACGCCTCCTTGCACTTGCTAATCAGCACTTTGGTAACTAGTGAGCTGTCACTAGCCATGGCTTCATTAAAAAAATGATTGAACCTAGTGTCATTGGCAGCAAAATCCCAAATTGCCCTTCCATGTGCAGCACTAAATGAGGAGGGATCATCATTTTGGAACCAAGTGGTCATAAACTGATATGGATCCATTAAAATCGGGTCAAGCATACAAAGTAGGAATGGCCTTGCACTCAAGGGATTGTCCTTGAGTAAAAGACGAGAAGATTGTGTAAGCAAATAGCATTCTCTTTGGTCATTATCACAGACTTTCACTTCAAAGAATCCTGAATGAACTAGAATACGCATAAGACGGTAGACAAAAGAAGCTTTTGTTGGTTGGATTGGTAATGCAGCTACCAGCTCGGAGAGGATCATGGGTTGGCCATGACTCTGGATGATATCTGGTATGCCTAGTTGAACTGCACATTTCAGGACCATGGAGTTTATGAAGTTGAAAATATGATTCCATACATGAGCTTGAGCTTGAAGTAGCTCATTTAGGCTCTCTCCATGGATCGAATCCATTGATTTCAACTGGTACATGGAAGTTGTTTGCTGTACCTTGAAATATGAACCTGATTGATAATTTATTTATAATATTGTATATCCAAGATCTCTTGTTATCCAATAATGCACATATTACCATTGTTCAATCATGTTGGTTGGTCTAAAATAATAATAAAATTTATTGCAGTCCATTTCATTTATTGTCCATTTTTAGTAAACCAGTCAACTAGTCTGGGTGGTTCTAAAATGACAGTAAAACTTATTGCAGTCCATATGGTTTATTACCAGAAAAGCACTGATAACCATAACTTCACGAGTCGATTATTGTATGCCGAAAGTATTAATATGAATATTTGGTTTGAAATTATTGGGTCCCTACGCAATGCAGCTATCATCTTAATTAGCATCATAACGCCATGGCTCCACGTGAAAATCCCGAGTTTTAACTTGGATTAGTCCCAGTATAACCTGTCGCAGCCTTGGCAAGTGCTTTTGCTTTTGCAAGTAATATGGTGTAGTTTTAACCTGGGATGCTAGCATATTATGCTGTCATCCTACCTTTAAAATAGAGAAATCATGAAATATGCTATTTTCTAACGGGAAGACAGGAGGTAGTGGAAAGATTTTGAAGGTTCAGTTCTAATATTCCACATGTAGTATAGATATCTAAATTTTTTAATATATGGTTCGGTATTTGAACCTTTGCACGGATTGCACTTGGTTACAGACTCACAGGTCATTCGCAGTGTTTTCCTGACAAAAAATTAGGATCTCTGTTACCATCTTTGCTTATTCTTTGGCATTATGTATAGTGTTACAAATAGTCTCTTATATAAATTAGTTAATAACAAGAGATAAATACAGAGGATAAAAGGTTAGAGCTTCTATATTAGAACTGGTTCTCATGGGAAGATCAATGAAAGACGAGGTTTTCCAATTGATGGAGATAAATATATGGTCCATGTTAAGGAAATCAAATCTGACTTTCCTGATTTCAATCTTGTTAGTTCTATGCTGGAAAAATCTGCAGCAAGAAAGCTTGAGGAAAGGGTTGATGATGTGGATGCAACGGTAGAATCTGATGTAGCTGCTGACATGGTAGATCAGTTGGATGATATTAGCCTAATCCTTGGTGAGTGTACTGCAAGGCTGGCAAAGGAAATCAAGGCTTACAAGATTTCAAATTTGAATAACCGATAGATAGCTTGCTGTTTTCCAGAAATAAAGGGGAACGTTCAAAGCCACCAGTGCTTGACAGTTGCAGAATTTAAGACACAACATAAGATAGCAGATAGTATTTGGTTTCCAGAGTTAAAAGAGACGTTTCAAGGACAGAAACAACTGGCTGGGACGGACTCCGAAACGCAGCAGCAACGGAGCTCTTTAGCTGGCAGTTTTGGGCCTTCAAGAGTGATGGACTCACAGTTTCATGTGGTTGGTGGACTTTCGGGTAATGGACCTAACAGTTCAAAGGGCTTAAGCTCTGACTCTGATTTCAATATGTCCCCAACAAGGGATTTAAGCCATGTAACCCTTAGAAGGATGAAGTCAGGCATTGTTGCATCTTCACAGGACACTACTGGTTTTGTATTAAACAAACCAAAACGTGAAGTTAAAGTTCTGAACATAAGAGGTAGCCTTGAGGAGCGTGATGGTGAATTTAGTATTGACTCCATGGACTCAGATATCGGTAGAGTTAATTGTCGACTCATGAATTCAGCCTGCGCAACAAGCAATGCACCAGGAAAAGTTAGGTCTGATGAGGTTGCTCACACCTTGTCGGTAGGAGCAATCATAGAAGTTCATGAGGAGGTTCATAGAAACGAAGCAGCTGCAACTAGTAAGAAGCAAATCGATTGAGAGGAAATGGAGGGGGATAGAATGGAGTGAGTGTTTCGACAGCAGCATCTTTCAGTCTGGTTTTTTCTTCGCTTATTTATATGTTGATTAATCATGTTAAGTTGTGGAGACTGATATGGATGAGAACCTGCAATATAAAGCGTTATACAGATTCAGTATGATGGTCTTTCTAGCCAATGAGTGAGCAGAGGTCAGGGGCAATGCCCTTTGTAAGAGTTCAGGGGTAGAGCCTCTGAAAACTCTACAGAGTATTGAGCCAGATGTATGGGCTCGTTAGGTTTTTTTTTTTTTTTTTTTCTTATAATCCTAGTTGTCTACATTATAAATACAGAAAATACCAATTTTATTTGTAATTGACACTTGACAAAATTTAAAAAGAAATTCTAGTACAGTTGCGGAGTAAGTACTGTTACCGAATAAATTTTCTATTAATATTATTAAATATTTTGTTAATAAATATATATAAATCAAATGATTTCGTTCAATACATAGATTTGATTTACGTTAATTGTCAAAAATAAAATTTTTATTTATATTAAACTATAAGAATCAATATTTCTATATAAATAATGATTATTTAAGCGTAGCATAACTTGGATATTTAATTGATTCTCTCTAATCTCTCTCGGTCAAATTCTATCTTCCAAATCTCTTATCTCTTCAAAGAAGTTTGGTGAAAAGAATGGGGTAACGTGGAAAATCACTCAAATAAAATATAGAAAAGACATCTTCTGGCCACTAACGGTTAGTGGGTCAACAAAAGATGTCGGTCCTGTAATTCCATGCTTTTTCACAGCAAGGGTCTGTAAAATACTATTTCAGCTGATTTTTCATATATATATATATATATATATATACACACTTTTTCATAGGCAAAGGACAGCAGAAAGAGAAGGTGATAATGATAGACGTAGTGTGAGGTCAGTAGCAAAATGGAGATGAGGAGTCAATTGAAACGCAGCTGCTTTGGGATCTAGAAATGATGGTGGTTGTTAGTGGTCTGAAGAGGAATGAAGAGGAATGGGCTAAGCTCTTCTTTGATGCTGGTTTTATCAACAATAACATACATAACGTGCTAGGCACAAGAGCACTCATTGAGCTTTATCCTTGATAATTAAGGCTCTTATTTCGTGTTTTATTTATTTATTTATTTATTTATTTTTTAGGTAGTAAGATATTTTTAGATTAGTGTTAAAATATATTTAGTTTTTTATCAATCAAAAAACTCTGTAAATAGTAAAAATTAAACATTAATCTTAACCAAAACAAAACAACTCCTTTATGCTGTACTACATCTCTTTATTGTTTATTTTCTGGAATTTATGGCAACCATATTCGTCTTACCAACTTCTCGGGACTTAATTCCAAAAGATTAATTAGTTAGAATGATTAGTTCCCAATACCATATAAGGTCCCTACTTGGTAGCCTCCCCCACCCCCCCCCCCCCCCCCCCCCCCCGGTAATAAAATTGACCATATTTATCAAGAAAAGAAAATGACAAGAAGAAAGGCAGCTACTGTTTGATAAGCCTTGGATGGGCAGTCAATGTATTCTTTTCTCACAAATGATAATATGTTGGTGGTGACAATTAATTAAAAATTGTAAATATAGGTTATGCTATTAAAAGCTTCTTCTTCTTTTTGTTTTTTAAGCATTCGTGCTTATATATATATATATATATATATATATACACATAACCCAATAATTCGTGCCAAATATGTTAAAACACTACCAAAGATTTTGCTTACTTACACTTTACACTCTCAAATTTTAAATCTATTGTTTAGCCATATTATTAACTATTTAAATTTGCATGTTGGGTAGAAGATAAAAATTATAGTATATTCTTACACAATATTATATATAGACAAGTTAATCTTATTCTCTCTAATCTCTTTCAGTCAAATTCTATCCTCCAAATCTCTTATCTCTTCAAAGAAGTTTTATGAAAAGAATGAGGTATTGTGGAAAATGGCTCAATTAAAATATATAAAAAGACATCTTCTGGCCACAAACGGTATGTGGGTCAACAAAAGATGTCGGCCCTGTAATTCCTTGCTTTTTCATAGCCGGGGTCCGTGTCAACAGCTTGTAAAATACCATTTCAGCTGATTTTTTTACGCGCACACATGTATATATAATTTAAATTTGCGTATTGCTCTTGTTGTTTAAGTAATTTAATGTCCTTCTCAAAAAACGTAAAAGATATTGAGTATGATGTGGTAATTTTTTTATGAAACTGTCATTTTCTTTTAAAATTAACAAATTACTATCATAAAAATAGAATATTATAAATAAATACTCACAGATTGCTTATATATATATGAAAGAATAGAATAACACATTAATTGATATTACAGATCTTTGTAACCTATCCATCCGGGGAAAGTTAGATTGCAAGAATTAAATCAATTCATAGTTTAACAATTATGGCAAGACCCTTTTGCACGTTTTTGTTAAAATGTATATTAAGGTTATGGATATCGCTTGGAAAGGAGATCATGCATATCTTCTTCTTTTACATTAATTAAAGTCAGCTGCCTTTTGGAGTCTACAGCTATTGGTTGACTGCTTAAGCATCCTTATTGTACCCATTGAAATAGGGAAAACCATTAGAGATTTGGATTAAAAATTAAAATCCGTCAACCACCACAACTATTTTACATATTTTTAGTATGCTAAGTTCAAAAGCAATGTTATAAAACTCAAGCAACTCTAGTCATTTGATTACTTTTTATTGAAAGATTTCATCATATTTCCATGGCACTACAAAAAAACTACGAATTAACATTGAAAATTAGTGACGGATGCAAAATCATTACTATTCCTTGATGGTTTTGCAAAAAATGGCAATCAATATAAAATGCAAAGTTTAGAAATAAAATTATGAAGGAATGTTAGCAACGAATAGAGTTCCATAACTAAATCATGCAGGAAAAATATGTGCCTAATCTAGCAACGGAATAGCAATAGATTTGTGTAAAAAATTAGCTACAAAATAGCAATTCTAACCCTAATTCACATTACTAAAAATTTCAGAAAATAAAGCGAGTATTTTGAAATTCAAATGAGCGATGAACACTTAAATTCCTTACTAATTAGAGATGGATTAGTGACGAAATTGCATGTTTCATTGGTAATTATAGACAAAATGTATTTCATAGCTAGTTTCCATCATTTCTGAAAAATTTTAAAAATAAAGTGATCATTTAAAATTTCAGTTAGTGACAAACACTTAATTTGATCACTAATTAGCGATGGATTAGCAACGAAAGCTCATTCGTCGCTAATTCTTAATCCCTAAATTGGTAGAAACACTTCTTCCTCCCCATTTCATTTTTCTCTTCCCTCTCCTCCTCTCCTCCTCTCCTCCTTTTGTTGCCGCCGGCTACCCAATCCCAAAACCACAACACAAGACCACTCCACTCCCTCCCGAAGCATACTCCAACTAGCGCGAAGCACTCCTCTCTCCCCAAAAGCCAAGAGTTCATCCGTCTTATTCCTCTCCTATACTTCCCCCATTTGTTAGTTCTCTCTCCTTTTTTTTTTTTTCCATCATATCCATTGGCCACTTATGTTAATTATTAGATTAGTTTTAATTCATTAGTTTATTAACTAGTTAATTTATTAGTGTTGTTAGTTGTTATGGTTTTTTTGTTAATTTAATTAATTAATCTGAATTAGTGCTAACCGAGTTTGGTTAATTTCAAAGAGGATTAATTTAAATTAGTTATTAGTTGATTAATTAGGTTAATTTAATTAGGATGAATTGTGTTATGTTAATTTGAATTTAAATTAGGGTTAATTAGGATTAATTTAAATTAGTTTTTAGTCGATTAATTAGGTTAATTTAAATTAGGTTTAAATGAATTATGTTAATTTTAATTTATTAATTTAATTAATTAATTTAAAATAGGTTTAAATGAATTATATTAATTTCAATTTTTTAATTTAATTAATTAATCCAAATTAGTGCTAATTGAGGTAAGAATGTTAATATTAACTAATTGGTGTTAATTTGAATTAGCATTAAATGAATTTAGGTCAATTTTGATTGATTGTGTTATTTTTTATTAAAGTTAATTTGATTAAGCATATTTTGTGACATTTTAATTTTAATTTTCTCAATAGTCTAATATCAAACTCTACATTGGAATATTTGAAGATATTAAATTTTGGAATTTTAATAATTTCTTTCATTACTATTCATAAAATAAATTTCAATTCTACAATTAATAATAAATTACAATAAGATATATTTTATTCATAATGACTTTATGCATCTAAAAAAAGACCTCTAAATTTTATCTTAAAATTCAAATTCAAAAAATATAGAGGGGGAATAAATTTTCTTGACCTTGTTTCTTAGGCCTTGAGATTATATTTCTTAATTTTATCTCAAAAATTATCGATATTTTTTATTAGTGATAAAAAATATAGAAATAATCACTTTGTGTTACTCACCATAAATGTTGGAAAATCAATTATATTTTCTTGTAAAAATGAGTGTAAAATTAACTATAAATCTAATTAATGTAAATATTACATTTTTATCATACATATATATTTGGAAAAAAAATATCATTAAACGCATGCCATCCAAATAGTAGAACACTCTTATAAATATAATTAATATCAAACATATATGTACATGATTTTTTAAAAAATAAATTATAAAACTAGAGTTCTTACATACCACTTAATAATATTTTAAAATAATTACCAATCAAATAAAAAAAATCAAGAATCCGTAAAATATTAAATTATATTAACGATAACCAAAATACAATAGTAGTAATATTTTAGTAAGTGAACTATTTTTTTCATCTAAACTATTAAATTAGATTAAAGACAAATAAAACACAATAGTAGCAATCTGTTCTTTAACTATTTTTCTTAGAAAAAAGAATATTTAGATTAACTTATATAATAATAATAATTTTATTGTTAGGTTAATTGTTAGTTATTTTAGATATAATTAGATTAATTTTGATTAATT